TACTGATTCGCGGCCAGACTTGCAAAACATACCCCGGACAACGACCGCTCCGGTTGTTTTTCAATAGAAAAACACAATTCTAACGAATAGTGTTTGTCTTTTTCAAACAACCTGCGGTTATGTACATTTCGTCTAGGCCCCCGTCAAGTTGTACTGATTCGCGGCCAGACTTGCAAAACATACCCCGGACAACGACCGCTCCGGTTGTTTTTCAATAGAAAAACACAATTCTAACGAATAGTGTTTGTCTTTTTCAAACAACCTGCGGTTACCAGCATCTGCGATGCTGGGCTCCGCATCGCGGGACCGCAGGTTGTTTGAGCAAGCACCTTTGTAAACGCAGCAAAAACGCCCGCCGCCAAACGAGAGGATGAGCCTTGCACGTGCAGACCGGAGTCGGTGTGCTACGGACTGACGTGCACTGCACTCTACTAACCGGTCTCTAGCGGTTTGTCAAATTTGAGTGCAATCGACCCGGCCGTTTTCGAGATCTGGAAGTGACACCCTGCACGTGCGCACGTGCAACCTGGGTCCCAATTGACTTGTGCACGGCACTCTATTCGCCGGTTTCTAGCGATGTACCAAATTTAATCTGAATCGGCCCAGCCGTTTCCAAGATCGGGAAACGACCCCTACCCGTGCGCACGTGCAGCTGCACCCCAACCGTGGCACATGAAAATACATACTAATTGACTTGTGCACGGCACACTACTAACCAGTCTCTAGCGGTATGCCAATTTTGAGCACAGTCGGCCCAGCCGTTCTTGAGATCTGGAAGCGTCAGCCTGCACGTGCGCACGTGCATAACGGGTCCCATCTGACTTGTGCACGGCACCCTACTAACCAGCCTCTAGCGGTGTGCCAAGTTTGATCACAATCGGCCCAGCCGTTCTCGATATCTGGAAGCGTCACCCTGCCCGTGCGCACGTGCAGCGGCACCCCAACCGTGACACATGGAAATGCATTGCCGGTTGCGTGCCAACATCCATGCAAAGTACCAGCGCAATCGGCAAACTAACTACAGAGTTATTAGACTTGTTACTGAACTGACTTCTCATCGTTTTGCACGTGGCACGTGCATTAGGGGTCACCCATACGCATCGAGAATAGCACACTACGTGTAAGAAAGGAAGAAGCTATCCCACACAAAAGACCGCGAGTGAATCGGTCCAGTGGTTGCAGAGATATAAGGTTTGTAAAGGCACCCCACAGGCGGCCTACTGCTAATATTTAGCAATAATCAGTGTCGCATCCGCACACGGGAGGTATCGCCGTCACCTGTTCGTATACTCTAATGTGGTTGGGTTCAAGTCACAGTCGAGCCCTGCTTTTTTACAGCTTTTCTTAAAAACGGCACATCGTGCAGTGACGTTCTATACATTGTTGGAAAGAGCATCGAAAGTTGTATATTTAATTAACTTTTCACTTTGGTATATCTGCAACGTAAAAAGTTATTACGCAACAAAGACGCTCCCATTGACTTTCCATGTTAAAAATTTTAAATTTCAAATTAACTTTATAAGAAAAAATGAGTTCTGCCAGCTTAACGAAGCATAACGGCATGTACTATGCTCTTTCCTCTACAAGATATAAGAGTTTGGGCGAAATCTATCTCTAAAATTTTGTACAAAGATCGAATGAAAATGTCTCGGCAAAGTCTCGGCATCGCCGTCCATTGACTTAACATGGGACACAGCAAAATTCCAACTTTGACCTCGTGCAAAGACACGTTCCGAGATTCTGAGGGGTATACAGCGCACACTGGCGTGTACCTGAACGTGTTTGCCATAAAATGCTGGGAAGAAAACCACCTCTTCCTTGGCTCGTTTTTCCGCCATTCCCGATGGCGCAAAAAGACCCCCAAACCCCCATTGACTTAACATGGGCGAAAATTCAAACGCACGCGCCACGCGCAAAAGACTTCTTAGCGAGTAGCGACCGGTGCCATCAGGTAGATCGCCTCCGAGAGCCCATACACTGAACTTTTTACGAAGATTGTACATTTCGTCTAGGCCCCTACCAAGTTGCCCCAATTCGCTGCCAGACTTGCAAAACATAGCCCGGACAACGACCGCTCCGGTTGTTTTTCAATAGAAAAACACAATTCTAACGAATAGTGTTTGTCTTTTCAAACAACCTGCGGTTACTGGGCTCCGCATCGCGGGACCGCAGGTTGTTTGAGCAAGCACCTCTGTAACGCCGCTAAAGGTGTGCCGAATTTGAATGCAATCAGCCCAGCCGTTTCTGAGATCTGAAAGCCTCACCCTGCACGTGCGCACGTGCAAGCTGGGTCCCAAATGACTTGTGGACGGCACCCTAGTTGCCGGTCTCTAGCGGTGTACCGAATTTAAGCTCAATCGGCCCAGCCGTTTTCAAGATCTGGAAGCGACCCCTACACGTGCGCACGTGCAGTTGCACCCCAACCGAGACACATGAGTATACATACTAACTGACTTGTGCACAGCACCCTACTAACCGGTCTCTAAAGGTGTGCCGAATTTGAATGCAATCGGCCCAGCCGTTCCTGAGATCTGGAAGCGTCACCCTGCACGTGCGCACGTGCAACCTGGGGCCCAGCAGACCTGTGCAAGACATCCTACTACGCGATCTCTAGCGGTGTGCCAAATCTGAGCACAATTGGCCCGGCCGTTCTCGAGATCTGGAAGCGTCACCCTGCACGTGCGCACGTGCAGTTGCACCCCAATCGTGGCACATGGAAATGCATACTAAATGACTGCAACCTACTGATCGGTATCAAGCGTTATGCCAAATTTGAACACAATCGGTCCAGCCGTTCTCGAGATCTGGAAGCGTCACCCTGCACGTGCGCACGTGCAGTTGCACCCCTACCAAGACACATGGAAATGCATCGCCTGGAAAGTGTCTACCTCCATGCCAAGTTTTAGCGCAATCGGCCCAGTAATTACCGCGAGCTATTGCGCTTATTACAAAACAGGCACCTCTTGGCTTTGCACGTGGAACGTGCGTTAGGGGTCACCCATATGCATCGAGAGTAGCACACTATGTGAAAGAAGGGAAAAAGCTACCCCACACAAAAAACCGCATGTGTATCAGCCCAGTGGTTGCCGAGATATAAGTCGTACAAAAACGTCCCCACGGCGGCCGGCCGCTATTTAGCAGTAAAATCGTGTCGCATCCTTCTATGGGAGGTATCCCCGTCACCTGTTCGTATACTGTCTGAGCAAAGGCCATACGTTACGGTCCAAACTCCATAGTGAGGCGGACATACGAATTTACGAGAGTTTAGCGACGAAATGATTCACTTAATTGTTAAGTAATGGGTACCATTAGGTAGACCATAAATTTTATCTAGCATCTCACCGTAGATGCAGTAAAAAGTGCTTTACTTTTCAATGTATATAAAGACTTGCTCAGCTCAATCAGTTCACTCTGTATTGGCTCAAGCCGTATCATGCGAACGCAATACAAACTAGAGCACCGACAGCGCAGCGCTCCCCAACTCACTGCTTGCCCAGTCCACCCGGGCCGCCGCCACGACGGCCCCCCGCAAGTAGGCATCCCGCACTGCACCGACAGCCGCGGGCGACCAGCTGACCGGCCAGCTGACCGGCCAGCAGCCGGCGGGCGGCAAGCCGCGGATGGCCGACCCGCCGGCGCGGCGAGGGAGGGGAGGGACGCAGCTGAAAGACCCGACTACATATATATCAAAATTAACATTATATGTAATCATCGATGACGCGACATAAATCTGCTTTATTGGGGTTAGCGGTGTAGTCTGTGATGCCATCACAATGAAAATAGCCTAGTTTTGTAGAGCATCAAATTCTGATTCCATAACGACTCTCGCTAGTCCATTTTCAATTGTAAATAAGCCTTTTATTGCGATACAAAGTCCCGAAATGGTGCCGACGGCGGCCGGTCCCCCGATGGTACCATACCATAGATGGTAAACAGGTTAGTTCACATTCCCGCCGCTATGCGGGCGGCGGCGGCGCCACCTGTCCTCGTGTCCGCCTGACACCGTAACGACATAGGTCTGAGCTCAAATCTCGGTAATGTCGTGCTTTTTTACTATATTTCTCAAAAACGGTACAACGTGCAATAACGTTCTATATATCATTGGAAAGAGCATCAAAAGTTATATAACCTATCAACTTTTCACTTAAATATATCTATAACGTAAAAAGTTATAAAGCAGCAAAGACGCTCCCATTGACTTTCCATGTTAAAATTTTTCATTTTTAAACGAGCTTCAAAAGAGCAAACGAATTCTGACAGCTTAACGAAGCATAACAACATGTTCTATGGTCTTTTCTCAACAAGTCCTGAAAGTTTAAACAAAATCGTATCATATAATTTTGTACAATGAGCGAATGAAAATGCCTCTGCAAAAACGCCCATTGACTTAACATGGGGAGCGAAAAAAGTTCAACTTCAAACTCGTGCAACTCAAGTTAACGAATTCTGACGGGTATACGGCGCACACTGGCGTGTACCAGAACGTGTTTGCCATAAAATGCTGGGAAGAAAACCACCTCCTTCTTGGCTCGTTTTCCCGCCATTGGCGATCGCGCAAAAAGTGTCCAAAACCCCGTTGACTTAACATGGGGAAAATGCAATTGCACGTGGCACGCGCAATGATTTTTGTTGCGAGTAGCGACCGGTACCATCAGGTAGATCACCTGCAAAAGTCTATACCCTGAAATTTTTACGATCCTAAACGCAAAACTCTAGGCTGCGACCAAGTTGCCCCAATTCGCTGCCAGACTTGCAAAACATAGCCCGGAGAAGGACCGCTCCGGTTGTTTTTCAATAGAAAAACACAATTCTAACGAATAGTGTTTGTCTTTTCAAACAACCTGCGGTTACCAGCATCTGCGATGCTGGGCTCCGCATCGCGGGACCGCAGGTTGTTTGAGCAAGCACCTCTGTAACGCCGCAAAAACGCCCGCCGCCAAACGAGAGGATGAGCCTTGCACGTGCAGATCGGAGTGCGTGTTCTACGAACTGACGTGCACTGCACTCTACGCCGCCAACCGCAAAACGCCGCAAAAAACGGCCGCCCGCCGTCAAACGCAAAAACCGCAAAAATGCGCCCGGCCGCCGCCAACCGAAAATAAACCTTTTACCGAAAACGACGCAAAAACAAAATCACCCGTTTCGCGGCGGGCGGGCGATGGGCGAATTTTTTATGGGCGATTTTTTCAGCCAAACTCAGACTCGGGCTCTGAGTGCAGCCTGAGTTATAGATGTCGCTGTCATTCAGCCACTGAAACAAAAGCGCCACGATTACCGTCAAATCATATTTCCTACGCGGCCGAGAAAAAAATGAAGCGGAAAGTGAGTAAGACCTACCTGACACACGGTACAGTTGTTTTGAACATCACCAGTTGAACCACGAGGCATCCATATTCCATACCAACGAAAAGTTTTCCATCTCTTGGTATATTAGCCGTAGGCTAATATTCCAGGCAGCGGCACGAGGAGCCGGATGGAGGAAACATGGATGCACGCTTGGTAAGGGCTGGATAGTATATTAGGACGTGAGCTTTACCAAAAGGCATCCACGCACCGCGCTGCCCGCCCTTGACGCAGTTAGCAAAAAAGTTGGCTCCAAATGTGATAGCCATCTTTCAATTACGTTAATTCAAGTTCGAAAGATGATTGGTGTTACTAAAAAAAGACTACGTCAAGAGCCCGTTACGATGTAACGGAAGACAAACCAGCCACTCCACACCTAGGCAGTTTTTCACACGCATTCCTGCATTCACACTCGCCATTTCGTGCACCGGCCTGCCCGCTGCACAACGTAATATCTATGGCAACTATACTGTCTAAGGCATGATTGTTGCTCCTAATGGTTTTCTTTTTTCACAGACTGGAGTGTGCTTTACATGAAAATATAATGTAGTAGATGATACCTGCTCATTTCATCACTAAACGTGTGAAATGTTCAAATCATGTTGGCATGTGGATAAGATCCGAGACTAGGAATTTAAAGTGTAGAAATGTCGGTGGCTGCTGGACGCATCTGCAACTGAGCTCATGGTCCTAATCATCCGCGAAAGTGACGAAACTACAGGAATGTCACGATAAAGATGCGCAGTACCCTGTATGTTCATGGCATACAGCTGCAAGCTAAGACAAAACTAGAAACGATCTTTGGGTAGAACATATAAAGTGAAGCAATACCAATGCAGAACTACTTGGAGTCACAGGAACCAGTGTGTCCAACATATCAATCAGCTAACATGTAAGAACGCATGTGTAAGGCCGCATGTGCAACTGTAATCCCTCTTGATCGACTACAAGAATGGAAAGAAAACGTCAACGGAGTAAAACTTCACCATGTGAATCTGCGTATAACTGGCATTCGTGATCAAGTATGCACAACAGATGTGAGGTGAGGACGCGGTGTCATTGCGATACAACATCAACTGATGCAATATTGGAATGCATTTTGCACTCATTCTTGCATATTGATAAGATCAAAAGTAAGGCGATAATGTGGATAAGTGTGTTGACAGATGTCGAAGACTGACGGTGATTACGAACTGCTTAACAGGCGACCGGATTGACGGTGATGCGCCTGACCGATCGTTGGAGTGCATGTCGCATCTGATGTCTATGGAAAACGGCAAAGGAGAAAACAGGACTATGGTGAAGGGCTGTTCTAACATCACATAGAACGGGAATGAGCAGTAACACCTCCCAATGAAAGCAGTGAAAAACAGCGAAACTGCCTGTTTATCCTGCCATGGTGCTAATGCCCAAAGTCAAGTTTTGTTTGTGTGTGTGGAAAGCGGTAGGGCCCTATGTGCTAAGCTTTCATCCGTTTTAGCTTTGGTATCACAATACAAGTATTAGGTGCTCGCACACTACTGCCAGTAGTTCAGTCGGTACTGAGTAGCCCGCAGCTAATAACAACCTGATATTTGCTTCCTGCACAAACGTAGATGGCGGCTAGCATTATGGAAGTGTCTTTACATGATGAGTCTGATCGACGATGATGAATGAAATAATCATTTGAACTCGTTGAAAGATGACGATGTCCGGGTCACAACGAAGTGACTTAAAACTTGCAGGATGAATAACTGATGATTGGGCCGATGAATGTGGCTTGTGCTGCAGCCGAGGCCTGTGGGGACGGACGACCGGTGAGGTACAAATGGAGCAAGGAAACGAGACGTGAATGTACACCAAGCACAATGATATTTAGCTATCATAAGCGTTGACAATGGTGAATAGTCGAGCTGTTCGTCATATTGAGCCTTCACGTCATAGCCATTGCAATATCAAGCTCCCCAAATTGTCATTAGCTTTCGCAGCCCAAGTCCAGTATTGAGTGCTCAAAGAACTTGCCAAGGCAATATAGCTGTGAGCAGCCCGAAGTTCATGGACGGATGATGACCTTTCCCTCTAGCAAAAAGTAGACGACGTCCAGCGCTATAGTCGAACAGTGCCACTGCCAGAAAGGGAGAAGGTTTGCGAAATTCGGTTCGAATATCGGGAATTCGGGAATTCGGTTAGATGGTTATGGAATGGACCATATTAAGGCATTTAGAATATCCTGCGCACGGTTTTCCTGAAAACCTGAAAACCGTAGATAGTGGGAAAACCTCAGGGGGGGGGGCGGAAATCCGCCCCCCCCGTCGGTGCGCGGGATATATTTGATTGATATGTGTAGGCACTGCTTTAAAAATACAGTAAAACACTGAAAACTAGTGATGTCAATTACGGAAAATCGGAATACCGATACCAAACCAAATACCAACCAAAACCGTGGAGAAATATACCGAAACCAAACCAACTTGGGAACATGAGGAAAAAACCAACTTTTTACCGATTTCTTAGCCTCTTAGACATTAGCGAGGGTTCATGATACCAACAAAATACCAAACACATTAGGATTGAAATACCAAATACCGAGTTGGTATCGGTTTGGTATTGGTATACCAAAAAGTTGGTATCCGATTGACATCTCAACTGAAAACCAAAGCAACGTTGGAATGATTTTCCGTAGGTATGCGTTTAGTTAGCCAAGCAAACAAAGTCACAGGCTCTTGCACATATTACAGAGTGCTCCGGCACTGGTGTAACAAACAACTCACTTGCACTGGGGTTCGGGCTCACAGAGTAGATCCAACAGATAACAGGTCGCATTCAGCATTGCGCCGGACACTGCTGAAAATGTTGACAAGTGTCTGTCAGTAAACGCAAACATCAATCCCAATAGATAGGTACATGAAGACGATGACAAACATGTTGGCATTGTGTAGGAATGAGGACAGTAAATGATCACACAAAATGTAAAGCATTCTGCAACGTGTTGACAATGGACATTCAAATATGAATACATACCAGCCGTACGCAAGTGTCTTCGAAAATGTTGACCTCTTGATGGTGATGGAGAAGGTGTATCACGTCCACAGGCTTCAAGAAGTCGATCCATTGTCCGCATATTGTTAAATTTGGTCATCACATGTCCGTTTTCAACGCATCCGTAAACCGATGGCGAGAGCATTTAAGAACGTTTGAGCATGTGACTGAAATACTCAAAGACACAAGTTGGAGGAAGGAGCAGGCGAAAAAAGAAAGATAACAACACAGTGTATGAGCATCGTGTTCCAGTGCTAAAAATATAACTGAACAGGAAATGCAATATCATGTGTGGATCGCTCATGAGTGTGAACACATGCTTACATAGATGCATACCTACACTATACGAAAACATGACCGCTTTTTACGAGTGATTAACTGCTACATTCAGTGAACTGCATCATGTGGTACATGTTTGCGGGCGGAGCATGTCTACCGAATTCATCGGCAATACAATTAAAACAAACACACACATACGTAGAACTAGATGATGAGAGCTAGTGTAAGCGGGTGTACAGGTGGCTAATGTATATCTGCAGATAACTAATAGCTAGTGACAAATAAAAAAGTGCCAGCAACGGCCAGCGCAATGGGTGCTCCGTGATCGACGGTAAAATCTTCAACGGTATCGACGGTAAAGATGACTGGTAATGCACCTGTGAAAATAGGAGAAGCAACGGATGATTAGCTGACATGACAGCAAGTCGAAACGAATCGTCGATAAAATATAATATGTCAAGTCCGCGGATTTCTAAGCTTATGATTTTTCGATTTCGACGACTGTGAGTGAAAATGCATTTCAGATGAGATATTCGATAAATATTACTAAAACCCTTAGAAGTCAATAGGCAGAGGGCTACAAGCCTACTTTATTCAACGTTGAATACCCACCCATAAAGGTCAGTTCATCCGAGTATTACCGCCTCCAAAAAATATTAACGTTTTGTAGGCATACAGTACCGTAAAACCGTTTGGAATCTTGGAGCAGAGCTGTTCGTTAAGCTAACAGCATCCTTTGATAATGAAATGGGCCGGAGGCAGAAACTGGCACTTGAGAATGCAGAGGCAGTCATCACACAGTCCCAGAAGACGTGACTGGACAAGGCGTCCAAGCGGCGCCTGGTCATACACGGTTGCCATTGGATACTGCGAAATCAGCCTGCAGGCACATAAGGACAAGGAGTTAAAGTTTTGAACACGCTTTTCGTTCCCTTGTTGCATTACAAAAAAAAAAATATTAACGTTGTGTAGGCATATCTGGTTTGGTAGCGTGTACCATTATGCTCCCATTCCACTTACTGGTCACAGATCCAAACTCATGAAACTCCTAGATGCCGTTCATGATGACGAGTGTGTTCAATGAAGCTTATTCTGCTGCATGATGCACTGGTATGGTATGGTATGGTATTTGTAGCTTACGGGCCACCACAGCGTCCTGTATTTGGGCCCGGTTCTGTCGTCCGTCTTCGTTGTTGGTCCGTCCGTTGCCTTGAAGTGTCCGTTGTCTTCTTGGCTCGCAAGGGTGGGCTGAGGGGTGGGACTGGGTTCCTAGCTATCTCCTCCCGGGTAGCCGGATTGCCCCTTCTATTATTTTTTTTTGTTTTTGTTTTTTTTTTTGCCATTTTGCCATTCTGGGGTTTTTTATTTTGATTCTCATTGTTTTGAATATTGTTTTTTTCTTTTTTGCTTCTTTTTTTGGCTTTTTTGGCTTTTTTGTCCTTGGCTCTAGGGGAGGAGATTTACAGGTCATTGATCAGCCCAGTGTTGTGTCTTTAGTGGATGAGTAGTGTTGTTAGCTCGGGGTGTAAGTCCCCGAGCAGTGTTGTGAGTGTTAGTGGGATGTTGGCGTCTCTGCAGTATGTTTGTATGTGTGTCCTGTGGTGTTGGTATTGTGGGCATGTGAGTAGCAGATGTTTGACAGTGATGAAAGTGTTGCAGGTGTTGCATTTCGGTCTCGGGCTTCTTGTGATGATGTAGTTGTGTGTGATAGCGGTGTGTCCAATGCGAAGTCGTGTGATAGCCCTCTCGTTTTTGCGTGAGTTCATGTTCTTGGTGTGCCAGTGTTCTATGCGTGGTTGAATGCATCATGCACTTCTGGACAGTGATTGATATCCGACTTGCTTGGGCGAGTGTATGCGAGTGATGTGTAGTGGTGACCAATTGTACCAAAAGAAAATGACATTGAGAACATGATTTACAAGCGCAACATGCGGCACAACTCACGTGCATACAACGACAAGAAAAACAGGAAATGTCGTAAATGACGCCATAAAACATTGTATGGCCTACAAATATATCCGCAACGCAATCCTGGCTTGAGCTAATTCAGTACCTACTTTCGCGGGAACACTTTAACTCATGTAGGTAATGTTCACACGACGCAAGACTCATATACAAACATACAACACTAAAAACACAGAACACGGACATTTTGTAGCAGTATTGCATTGTATCAGCAGCGAGGTGGAAAACTGGCGGCATCTTTGTCTCAAACTACGTGCCAGCGGTGCAATAGGCAGCTGGCATTCAGATCTAGCAATAATGTGTGCTCATGATGTTAATGGCACCTGTGAGGAGGATGAAACAATTCTGAATTTGATAGGACAAAACTGTCTGGCCAATCTGTTCCGAGCACAACTCACTTTCCCTGGACATGCAGAGTATGTGTTGCTGTGAGTTAGGTACTTATCAGATGTCACATCGCTCTGCTTATGGTAGACCTGCAATATGTGACTTGCATGTAAACCCTGCCAGCAGCATGTAGTTTTGCACAATAAAACTGTTTTCTCTGTGTGGGCTTGCATATTTCGTTGGTAGCAGGCAGGCACAATGCTAGTTCCATACACCACTGACTACACGCACTCATGCACGTATTTACTTGAAAACTAGTACCAATTCACTCATTCACTAAATTACGTGTAAGATGACACGCACACCCTCACATACGCACATACATACCCACACACCCACATCCACCCTTACACACTCACAGGCACACATGCTCACAAATACCAATCATTCAGGGTTTCCGATGAGATGAAGTGTGTCTACTGTTTTCTGCCACATTACGTCATCACCACAAGGATTGAATCAAAAGTATCTAGGGTTAAGAAGCATAAACAATTGCTGACACATACTTGTCACTTACTTCTAATATGCCCTACTGCAACCATAAGATTCAGTTGAACCACTTTGCTCATCTTTACTTTCAAGCTGACAATCAGCATTGACGAATCAGCATTGGTTTGGCCTTCATGAAAGCTTACGTCAATAGCGCAAATAAATAACTTGCTTGTGGACGAATGGCTTTTAGTATGAATGCACATAGGTAAAGTGAACTGCGCACATGCTGTGACAAACTTTTGTTTGCCTAGTAAGAAACAGTAGACACACTTGCTAGTTTGGATAAAGGGATATTCTCGTGCGTGTAAA